ACGAGCCTCCAGCTCTCACTGTAGAGTCTGCAGAGCCGAGATTGAGTAACAAAGTCCTCACTTCGACGGGGATTCCCAATCGCTTGCGCGGTCTATATCGTCTTCATCTCTCAACACGTTCCCCTATCACCATTATCATGAGGCTAACCTGTTAGAAATTGTCAAGGATTTCTAGTAGGAAATATCTCGAAGAACAAGTATACAGTTTCGGACAAGATTTTATTGATAGTTGTATGTGATATCGAACTCTCTTCTCAATATGAATTAATAATATGTAATACTCCGTTAACTTAGTTTAAAATATACAAGTAAGTCTATCATTAAATACAGACCCCCGAGGCCTTAGTGATCCCAAACTCCAAGTGATCTAGCAACAACCAGCCACTTAATTATCGCAAGGTAGCATTTCCTAGCCACTGCATTCAGATAACACTGAACCTCATGTCGCTCAGCTAAGCTTAACCATATGCAATCTGATCAATTGAATTGATCTTGATGATCATATTTAGAAATCTAAACCCTCAGATATACTAAGTCTAGATTTCCAACATAACCACGATCAGATCAGATGGTAGGGTCGGAGCCCTTCTCAACATCAACCCTTGATCATGGAGGAGAAGCCATCCGATGAGTTTCCGGAGCGTATCCAGCACCTGATACGGAGATGGCGGATTGAATCAAGTCGGCCTCGAATTTTACAAAGAAGGGAGATATAGATGAAAACGCGCACCTCATGTGGTTCGGGAGTCAAGGCCTCGCCTAGCTAGGGCTGCAGATTTTTTGGGACTTTTTCCCGCGCATGCAATTTCCATTGCTACCATTTCAAAAAAAAATTGGGTAGAAGGTTACGTTGAAAAGGTGGCTGAATTACACATGTGAATACTGAGCTAAATGACTATCCATCACAGACAATATATCAATGATCTTGAAAGCAATAAAAGAGGATAAGAGTACTGTACAGAGTGTAGCCTGGGCCAAAGAGGAGCCCAATGTGCTAGATAGTCTGACTCAAGTAGTACAACAAACACATCTAAACTAATTCTGGTAAAGAGTTAGACTTTCATGACGAAATATTTATGAATCTAGAGCTGAGGTTATTCCCGACATAGTTACAAAATGGTCTAAACTTGGTAGCTGAAAAAAGAGTTTGTTGTAAAAGATCAAGGATTCAGCAGAAGAATTAGCCGGCAAAGGCGCACTGTCCATCTTCCAGCGATGCCGGTGTAATCGCTCAGTACGCTCTGTACTTCTGAGATAGCCAACAAGATCGCATTCAAATCGAGGTCGAATTTATGCAAAAGCATACAGAAAACCGATGAATTTTCATCAACGTCGGGGCTATCTTTCTCACGCGAGTCCTTCAACTTACTCGTTGCACAGAACAACTCGTACCAACGACTGGATATACAGTCGCTCCAATTTTAATCGGGCATTTGCCTCATCAAGAATCGGCCATCTTCTACCACAAAATTACGATATTGTGTATACCCGCGAGGAGGAAACTAAGTCATAATACATAAAGCTCGGGTATTGGTCTATGGGAGACTGTAGCTCTAATAGGGCTCTACAACCTGAAGGAGGACAGGTAGCTGAGAAGTAGATTTCGAGAGGATAACAAGCACTTGTGGGTTACGTTACCACATAGTAAGCACACTCTGTTAAGACTTCTCTGCCATTTCAACACGAACTTCGGGAAAGGGTTTCAAGGAGGTTAGAAAGTTGAAGTGTGAGTTTCTTAGGTACATACGATTCTGCAGTGCACATCTTGCAAACGTCTTTAAACGCCTTGGATAGCTATTTCTTCGAATTTTATCTTGATGTTGGAATTAAGAGAGCCTCGCAACCAGTGCTTTTTAGAGCTTTTCTCTGCATCTGCACACCCGTGAACGACCATCGTTTTGTTGGCCGTAGAAGGTAGTAACGACGAGATAACCGGCTCCTCTAGCTTTGTACTCAAATGAAGACCTGTGGCGGTTTTACTGCTAGAAAGAAGCCGCGAAAGGGGCATAGATACTCCCGATTTTTAGGCACAAACTATTTGTCCTTTTACATTCATAGAACCAATAGGACAATAAAGGTAAAATAAAACATCACTATTGAATAAAACTCAGAACATGAGTGTTTGTACTATCAAAGGTATTCAAAAAAATGTCTGTTGGATACTGTCCACTTTTCACCGAAAGAAAGCTCATTACACATAAAATAATGAGAGAATCTCGCAATAGACTTTTATTCCTTTTTGTAATTTTGTCTGTAGGGCCAACTCAATTGTGAATTAACTGTGATTTAGTTCGAATTATCCCTCAACTCCTTATATTTATGATTATTAGGACACTATTTCAATTGATCACAGATCTAACAAACCCCTTGGCGTGCAGCACTTTAGTTATTTTAGACAAACTTTGTTCATTAAATGCCAAAGGCATATAATTGAAATGATCACTGGATGATAGAGAGTTATTAGGAGGGATTCAAGTATGTTTATCGATGAAAAGCTTCACAATTTTGGACGTGCAAGCAATCCTGAAGCTTCAAGCCGACACATTCTTGGGTTTACGAAAAGAAAGCGCCATCTAGTTCGCGCTACGCACGGTGGAAAATTATCATAAATGGAGGAAATTCATCCCACGCATTTGCTCGTTGAACGTTGATTCTGATCTTACTCAACCATATGGGATGTGTGGAATACTTCTTCTTTGCTTCATACATGGCTTCAAGGGAGGAAGTGACACTTTTGGAGCCTTCCCAGAACACATTAGAGCACTTGTTAATCATGGCATTCCGCATGTAGATGTGCGAGTTATAATTTACCCCAAATACGAGACACGAGGACAGTTAGACGAGTGTGTCTGTTTTTTCAATACTTGGTAACCATCTTTCACTTGCACATTCTGTCAAAACCTCAATTGTTCTAATATGGCGTAGGCTCAGAGAAAAAGTGATTGATATCGATGTGGAGATTAGATTGCATTCGCCAAGCACAGACCCGTCTATACAAGTAGTTCTTGTTGGCCACTCTATGGGTGGTATTGTGGCTGCTGACGCTGTTCTAGCGCTTTATTCAGTGTCTAAGTTTCCTACTTCCTTATCGACTCAAGCTGACAGCGTGGTATTTCCTAAAATCCAAGGCGTCTTAGCCTTCGACACGCCCTTCCTCGGTATCTCTCCTGGTGTCTTAACCAACATTAATCCAAATTCGTCGGTGCTCACTCAAATCGGTCGTATCACCAAACCGTTATGGGGATTCAAAGATGCCTGGCAAGATGAAACTCGCGGGAAAAGTAGCTATGCCGATGCATCAATGGACACCTCAGCGTCATCCTTGCCTTCCGAGATACCTACTCCGACGTCCACACGGCAGGGCTGGAGTAAGGCTACCACGTTGGCTGGTACGGTGGCTGCCCTTGCGACGGTCACCACAGCAGCGTACTGGCATTGGGATTCGGTCTTGCAAGGCTGGTCATGGATAGACTCTCATCTAGAATTCGTGAAGTGTCTCGTGGATGAAGATACATTGCGAAGAAGGCTCGCTGATATGGAAAATCTCAACCACAAACTCAATATTAAGTTTGGAAACTTTTACACAAGACTGGGTGAGAATACCACAAACTCAGATAGCAGTGCTCTACCTACGGATAAAAGGAGTAAAACGTTCTGTAAGCTTTCTGAAGACTCCAATATGTTACATTGGCAGGAAGCTGTAAATACTGTGGCTAAAAATGAGATTCAAGCTCACACTGGTATAATTAAAAGTCCCGTTCAGTAACCAAAGACAATGTTAACTTTTGACCAGGGATGTTTTTCCCGAAGGAGAATCCTGTAAGCCTAACTCTTTCCAGCAGAACAGTTGCCATTAAGTAGCTATCCTAATATCACTTTTGATCTGACGAATACTCTTACAAGGGATACTATACCCTATCCGAAGAGACTAGAAATCTAATTTTGACCTGGTCTCGGAATGGGAATTTCGATTCAACCCAATGATGCCCATCTCTATGCCTACTCTTAAACATAGAGGCCTAGTTCCAACCAAACAGGTCGTAGATGATGAGTAAATTCTGAGTCATGCACAACTTGATATATCTGTATTGCTGTGAAATGCATGTACAACAAGTCAGATTTTTAAGCACAACTTAGCGGCTAATGGAATAATGTATTAACACCAGTAGCTTATATCCATGAGGTCTAAAAAGCAATTTCAGGACTATGGTGTATATGCAAAACATTTTTGTTCCACTTAGACATAGTTCTAAAGGTTCAATAAGTAACTTTGTTGTTTCAAAATTCCGCCTCCAGGGTTACAAGCTATCAATCTTAGAGCAACATTTAGGAACCGGCAAAAGATTTTAGCTCTACGTTGGAAATTCAAGATACCTCAAGTCTAGTCTTTGTCACCTGGATGTTTCAACAATCAGTCGAAGATTCGAGTCATATGAGAGTGAAATCCTCTAGTCTGTGTTTTAATCAATCTTGACAAAACTTTGTCAATAAACCTCAGTTATCTGTCTAAAGTTCTAGGCTAATGATTGTGGGCCACAGCCGCTTTGACATAATTTTCTCGGAGACAAGCGTGAAGTACAGTTTTATGGAGTCTGATAAACCTAAACCCTAGTAACCAATGTTGTGTGTCAAGAAACAAATCACCGACACGCACGCAACAATGTTTTAACCTGTATTAAAGGATAAAATTCATAATTTTCCAAGCCAATAATCACTGGTGATATAGCTCCCATAAACTAACTTCTCCCATGTTTGAACCCCTAGCTCTAGCGGAAATCAGGTTAAATAAAATTTTAGATTCTAGTTGGCTTCATTGAGCGTAGTCTTCAGTATACAAATTTTTCATTTGGCGAGATGAAGAAGATAGTTATCAATGAATATTATAAGATGCATGATGTTGTGTACTTGATTTACCGAGGGTTGATCATCATAATTAGTTCACGTGTTTGGACAATTTGTTTGGGTGTGCTTTGATATGCTACATAGATAATAAATGGTCTCTATTCGTCATCATCATTATCTTCCTCGACACAAGTTTGAGCTATCCGGTCTAAATCACGCTGTCCACTTTGTGTTATGCGACGACCTCCCTTTTCTTCATCTTGTTCCAAGACACCAATTTTCTCTAAAGCTTGCATAACTTTTCGGTCGACACTTCCACTTGCGTCGACATGGTGTGATGGTCGAGATCCACGATTGCGGGTCGAGCCGTGTACTTTTCTCAGGCGACCAACTCCAACAGTCTTTCGCATGTATACATGACGAGCAATCGATGCAGCTCGGATATAAAACCAATCAATGGATTGAGGTGGGAGTTCTTTAGCAGGACCAGTTTTGACTGTGTCAACCCATCCTGAAGTACTGTTAGAGAGCCAGCTATTAGAGGGATATATATGTTGCTTACCGGGAATTGCAAGTTTACCTTGCCTCTTCAAAAATGCAGAGTAGGAGTCAATAAACTTTTGCGCCTGAAGGCCCGTTGAGTCAGCAATGTTCCGTCACCAGAGGCCTTTCAACCCCCTCGCGCCTGCTCATTTGTCGTGATAGCCACGGCCGCTCCTCGGTTTTGAGGTTACGCGTGATACTCTCGACATATCTTTTGGAATTTTGTAGTATTTCCACTTACATTGACATCGCGGACGGATATTCCACCTGGCATCTTGTCGAGAGGCTGTAGTTTGTCGATTGGATTCTTGTAAAATTTTGTGTTGCATGCAGGCCAATTCATAAATTCAAGCGTGTGTTTGTTATTAGCCGAAAGGCTAGCCTAGTCAAAATTAGGCGAAATTCTCACGTGAAGCTATGGAAAAGCCATACAGGGTCTACGAGTCCCTCAAGGGACCTCTAGAACGACATCTAGATCTTCATGGAGACAAATAACTGGCAGAGGCAAGAAGAGGTTAGCAGGACAAATTGTGTTTCTCTTTTTTGTAGACATCTTTGAAGCGCTAAGCGGGCTAGCCTCTCAAAACCCGCAAGGAAGGGTAGTCAAATATTTGGATTTAACCCCAATATGCGTACTAAAGACGCCCCGCGCCGAAAAAGATTTTTACAATAATTTTTAGCTGCCACGAGCCAGACATCGGCCCCTCATGCGTTAATTGGAGAGGAGACAAGAAAGGTTGGATGTCACTTCTTATTGCACTATTAACTGAAGGCTATCGGGAGTGTTATTATGGCCAGGGAGCGAGAATACAGGCTTTACTTACCTTGGCCCTATGTAGGGAAGCAAAGCTCGGATTGCAATTTTAGATTATTCTCTCATACGAAGAAGAATAGAACTGGATAATGCCGTGGTACACCATCCAGGCCGATCTCCCAACTAGATTCCTAGCAGCTTGAGCATCCACCCTATTCGAGACGGGAGAAAGCTGATTCGATTCTGACGAGACCCACACACCACAATTTTTCCCGACGATAAGGCAATTGCAAGGTGACGAAAGCAAACTCGGCGAGCCATAGGAATTTCATGCTTTTCCCTGTGATTGGTTATGCACGGAAGAGGTTGCATCCCGTTCAGGTTGACCTCGACCTGTATATGCAAATGAAATTTGACAATTAGGATTTCAAAGGCCAAAAGGAGTCATTCTGTGTGAAATACTTCTCTTCCATAAATACGTGTGTGAGCTTTCAGGCACCGAAATATGATACCTGACTGATTCATTTATTCATAGGGATAAATTAGTATCCCCTCGACACTGATTTCGTGCCCGTTTTCCATCGGGGAACAAGTGCAGTCACATACTGTCACAACTGTTAATGTAGACGGATTCATTTAATGAATCTTTTTGATTCCATGACCGTGTACCATACATACATGTTCTCACAAATATGACTGGAATCCCTGTGCTTTGAAAGTACACTCCCACCTATACCGTCCTTAATTCCCAACCCACTTGCGGAACTCCCAAGAAGTCTTGTTCTAATCGTTAGAATACAGGGCCTCTAGTTTTAAAGCAACCCTTATCGAACTGACAAAAGTAAGGCTAATTGCGGGTGTCTGAAAGAGAGAGAGGCCGGTAGAAGCCATTAGGTATGGGGCTTCTCTACCACAAATATCAGAAATCAGACTAAAATAAGTATTAATTCTGAGACAATGTTAGAGGCCTCCCAATCGGGCGCTGTGCTATGCTTTGTGGCCAAGGAAGTCATTATCTATCTCATATGTTCTAATCAAAGTGGGAGACTATTCTCACGCCTATCAGTGGTGTCCCCTAAGAACCTCCAGCTCTCACTGTAGAGTCTGCGGAGCCGAGTTTGAGTAACAAAGTCCTCACTTCGACGAGGATTCCCAATCGCTTTCGCAGTCTGCATTGTCTTCATCTCTCAACACATTCCCCTACCACCATTAGCATGAAGCTAACCACAATCAGGTCAGATGTTAGAGTCGGAGCCCTACTCATCACCAACCCTTGATCATGGAGGAAAAGCCATCCGATGAGTCTCCTGTGCGTACCCAGCGCCAGATATGGAGAGGGTAGATTGGACCAAGATGGCCTCAAATATCACAAAGAAGGGAGATATAGATGAATATGCGCACCTCGTACGGACTCGGTCGCTAGGCCTCGCCTCGCTGGGGCTGCAGGCTTTTTGAGACTTTTTCTCGCGCACGCAGTCTCCATTGCTACCATTTTATTTTTTTTGAGTAGAAGTTTTCGTGGAACGGGTGGCCGAATTCCACGAGTAAACACTGAGCTGAATGGCTATTCACTAAGAGGAATATATCAACGATCTTTCAAGTAACAAAAGAGGCAAGGAGCACCGTACAAGGTGTGGCCTGAGTCAGAGAGCAGCCCAATGTGCTAGATAGTCATAGACCCAAGTAGCACACTTAAAACCAACACCTCTGATAGCATCATGTGTCGAGCGCTTAGTTACATATCTCCTCCGTAGAATTAACTAATTCAATGTTATGATAACGAGCAATGCACAAGCTCTGCATCTAATTTGACATGACAGAGGCAATTTAATACCGAAAGACTCGTTTCGTTGACTGGAGAGGGGAGATAACGAAGGGCAAAGGGCTCCTCTAAGTGTATGATCGAATGAGGACTTGTGAGGGGTGGTACTTTTTGAGGGGAGCCGTATGGGAGGCATAGGAGGGGATATACTACTGGCATAGGTATCCTTGGCCTGTAGGCAGAGAGGACCTGAATGTCCTACATAGTCATAGACTCAGATAGGACATTAAAATGAGTTAAAGAAAATGAATACCGAAAGACTCAGTAATATTAAGGTCACCTTCGGCCCTGACCCTCAGGATCACTAGCATCAGATTGTAGTATTCATATTTATTGAGGAATTAATAATCCCCAGTCATTAAGGTTATAGAACGCATTGATTCAAGAAACTACCGGAGTGAAACTAAGTACAGAATTTGTAGTTAGGCGTGTATCGACAACGTGGCCCACTTGATAGCCCCAATTATCCTAACTGCTAACAACTTTTGAAATATACTTGTAATTCAGGGAGCTGGCTAGGAGGTTTTTTAGAAGTCTTTCATAGTCTAGGATTCAGTAGAGATTTGAATTTATATCAATCAATCCATCAACAAAGATGACCAATTCATTATGAGCCAGGGGAACATGTTAAAACACACTCTGCAAGCCTGACGCCCTATACCTCGCCTGTAATCCCCAATTTTTGTTTGCTAGTTACTGAAAGTGCTGGGAAATTGGCATCCTCCGCACTCCTTTGGGAGCTTTAGCGCGACTACGGGCGGGCTGGATCAAGCTAACTACTAATTGAGTACTCTAAGCTTCGTCCCACCTTATCGACCGAATCACTGTTTTAACTATGGGGAGAGATGGATAAGTATTGTGACAGGCATGTTTATAAAGAAGAACATAGAATGAATATCCTGGTAGTGAGCGAGTGATTTAGACTAATTGAGAATAAAAGGGTATGTAAATATGGACGTATAGTATACCAAAGTAGTGAATGAAACTGGTTATTTACATTTGCGATTTGCTCTACAACCATGCCCATTGAGTGTCTGATGTACTTGTGTGATGCGTGCCGACATCAATTGATTCTTAAGCTCCTACTCATTAGCACGATTCATATTTGAGTTATGTGTTGTTATGAGCTTGCATCAATATTTCCATGGAACATAGTCACTGGGTCTTGTTTATGAAGCCCTTGCTTCCATGCGTAGAAAAGGATCAGAACATCCATCTCATACTTCACATGTGTGTTGAATCATACCAAGCTCGACCGTTCAGAAGCCTCCTGTGTATCTGGCGTAGTGCAAGTTCATCCTCAGCCTGGGCCACTATGCGCCTGAGCGCTGAAAATTCTCCTTGACTACTAAAATGTATATCGTCCTAGATCCCGGCGTCTTTCTAGCCTTACACTTACTCATCTTGCCACTGGATTATTATCGTTGTCAGTAATCTTAATTATTCCCTTATTCTCTTTTCTTATGTGTCCGTTTTTATCATGACTCTCGTATCTTGTGTGTGAGGAGGTAGGTTCGTGGTCTGATGAGTGTGGAAGTGGGCTAAAGCCGTAGGATACACCGAGAATTGCTTCGTCGTAAATGTATATGGAGTTTAAGGAATGTCAGCTGTTTGAGTGCGACCCCCCAAATAAACTTGGGCCCATACTTGAATCGCATGTTGGTAGTAATGAATTATCGTTCGACTTTGTTGCGGTCATGAAATATCTGTCGACTGGTGTTTTGACCAAAATATAAATTGCAACTCCTTCCTGACGATAATCCATCAGATATAACTTATGTCATCCACATTCATGACTGAATCTAGGGTTTGAAAGAATATTTCACCGCCAGGTTGGTAAAGAACACCACAGACAAGTATTTAGCCTTCATCTTCCCATTCTTCGACGTTATGCACTAAAAAAATACAAGTTTCTGCATTGACACTCAGACTTCTTCCAATTATTGACGTAAGGACCAAAGTTCACTTCTCATATTTCCATCCACCGAAGTAAACGTGGTTTGTCCTGGTTTGAAAGTGTCTGTGGCACTAACCAAAATCGTGGCGTTAGGGCCCACAAGCATCCCAGATTCGAAAACACTCGAAATTTTTGATTTCGGGCCTACCTGTTTGTGACCCTTTCACTGTCTGTCCCACGTCCAAGCTGCCTGTACTTCCTCAAGATGTGAAGGCCAATTTGAACAACAATCCCACATGGACCAAAACCCGAGCTTTGTATATTGTGACTTGATTTCCCTTAAACGAGTAGACGGAACGTCATAATTGTGACAAGAGATGGCCGGTGGTTGATGAGGCAAACTCTAGTTTGCGAATGGTGCAACTACATAATCAGTTATTAAATTGTTTGGCTTGTGCTACGATTAATTTGGAGGACTCATGTGATAATGTTAAGACTGGTATTGCTGAGGAGAATCTGAATGTAGATAGGCTTATGATTGCCTGTGACTTCGATTCCTATGCGATACTTCTTGGCTATCCCAGATATGCAGGGCATAATTAGCGACCATACCTGTCTTTGCCGGCCTAGTGCATATGAGAATAAGGAGATGATTTAATCTGAAATAAATATTCTTGACATGGGTGTGGTTCATGATGTTGCTTTCAGTGGAGCACAATACTTCCACTTTAACTCAACCGTAAGATTTGAGTAGGGGATATTCTTACCTTTGAATTAGTTGCCAATTATTGTATCATCCCT